ATGTTCAGTGGAGGCATACATGTACGCTGACAACAGAAATGCAGGGCTGATATCAAGCCGTGCAACATCTGCTAAATTCACATGGGGAAAGGGAATACAAAAACAAATACACAAAGGGCACAGCTACTGAGATGGTAAATATTGTTTTTTCCATGCCACACCCAAACCAAGAATAGAGACAGAGGGGCCCTTAACAAAGCTTTATTCAGGTTCCTGACAGCTGACAGTAACTGCTTATTTTCCACTGGGCTGTAAGTGAACAAGACTGCCTACTTATTTCAAAAGCCTGCATCTGCCTGAGACTCACTCTTCTTTTACTATGAATAGATCAGAGGTGGAGGACAATAGCTCTGTGGAACTTTGTGGTGCTAAAAAATCATGTAAATGCAATTGCTATCATGCTTGCACACCATAAGAGGAGCAGGAGCTGATACCACTTTTTTGGAGGGAAAGAAACTGCCCATAATGCGTAGCAGTGTGGGTTTGCTAGCTGGGCAAGAGGAGGAGCAGGCAAGGGAGCCCAGGGGCTGGCTGCACTCCGGGAGCTGGCATGGTGGGCCTTGGGCAGGGCCCCCCCCATACTCCCCACTGGAGGAAGGAGTGCGCGGCCCAGAAGGGAGAGGAGGAAACTCTTAGGTGGCTGTGTCAGGGCATAGGTGGTGGTTTCTGCATCCTAGACTGTTGCACAAAGCTCAGGTGCTTAATGAGGGAGATAAAGCTGGGCACTCCCAAATCTACTGTTGATAGAACAGTGTTGTAAAGTGGCTGTGAGAGGAAGAGGGAAGGGAACGTAATAAATACAGCCCAGTCAATAGAGTCATTGCAGTTAATACAGTGCGGTGGATAGGCAGTTGGAGGAGGAACAGACCCAGAGCCTGACAGGTCCTTAGGACTGTGGGATTGTGGCTCCATATGGCTTATTTGGGACACTCACTGCCTCCTGCCTGAAAGCTGCCTTCAGAGACTTGGCATGGGAGTGTATTGTAAGAGGACATTAATTCCAGCCTGCCTGAGCAAGGTGCCTTAACATCCTGATGCACCTGTTGTGAGCACGGGAGATTGGGCAGAAGTGAAAGAACCCATTTTGATATGGTCTGGAGAGCTTCTGTCCAGGGCAGGCAAACCTGTACGGCTGCCACGCTGTCGTTGCTGCTGGCAGCAGTGTGCTGGGTAGCACTGGCACAGCTTGCATCGGGCTACTTCTTGTTCTCCTGGCTTCTGTTGAGGGTGTGAGGATCTGATACTATTCCCACCGGAGCCAGTATGAAAAGTTCCCAGGGTGGACTTCAGGTTGAAAGGGTTTTCAGTCACTGGGTGTGTGTTCTTCTTGACATGGGATACTCTTGTCCTTGTTACTTAGCTCTTTCAGAAATGCAGATTGACTGCTATAGCAAGGCATTGGACCGTGTTTAAATAAAATCAACTGCTCTTTAATAGAAATACACAACTATATTAGATAGTTGGGAAGTGATGCAAAGTTGAAACAGGACCAGTTGGTAACACCAAAAAAAGTAAGCCCCCAGGAGATGGCTTAATCCTCAGTATCCCAAATGGAAAAGTAACTTATGTGAATTAATAATAGAATATTCAACCAGAAATATTTTTCTAACCAGAAAGCATCTCTGGATTTGCATCTGTGGTTAAAGTGAAAAAATGGAAGTTAAATAAACTTGTATAAAAACTGCAAACAGAAATACGTCACACAAAAAAGAAAAGTTAGGCCTTTTATTTCCCTGCTTCCTGCTGTAAGTGATTAAATGTTTAGTTTCCAAACAATGTACTTGGCTCTTAATGAAATTTTAAAGTTCTTCCATATGTCTAAGTGAAAGTGACTCAGAGGATAGCTCACAGGAAAATTGCTGCTTTTTTTCCCCCCTTTCTAATAATCCCTTTTGACCTTTCTACCAAAATTAATTTATTTTATCCATTTTGATATCAAACTTCCAAGAAGTAAAACTACATTGTGCTTTATACCTATTCTTCTCAGCAATACATCCTGTTTGTCACAACTGTTCTGTAGCTCATCAAAAATCAAAGATTTTCCATGCTTTACTACCTGGCCATGAAGTTTCTGATACGATAGGTGCTAAATGAGGTGCTCATGGCTAAGGAGCAGTGGGGATTTGGCCTCCTGCTCTGCGTGAGCTGTGCCTTCCCCCTGACAACTTTGTTGTGTGGAAATCATGGGCATACTCTGCTGACAGGTTACTACACATAATGCTCAAATAAACAGGGTCTGAAAGAGGAATTGTAAGTTCCAAACAAATATTTATTACCTGACTACATTTCATCATGTTTCAGTGATTTGTGTATGTTGAGTGTTGTGTGTGTCCTCCCCCCTCCCTCCCAAGTCTTTTGTGAAACTGTATCAGTGGAAGATGTAGACAATGCTGAGGCCATGTTTAACTAGACACTGTGCAAACATAGCAAAAGACCATCCCTTCCTGAAAGACATGAAGAAAGGCTGTCCCTGGCTTTCATTCAGTAAAGCCTGAGAGCAAATACTTAAAGTAAGTTTGTTTCTTTGAGATCAAACAACTGTGTGGTTAGAGAAAGGCCTCAGTCCTCACAAATGTTTACCTTGCATGGTGACTGCTTTCAACCGAGCTTTCCAAGGAAGCCACAGATCCCTTCACTTTGCTCTCTTCCCACCTACCTAGAGCTGCACAAAAATCATCGAGTTGATGATTTTTAGTGTTAGCCTTAAATCTGGTACGTGTTTCCTGAGATTTGCAAGGCTTTTGGAAGATCTGGATTGGCTTTTGACCAATGCTTTTTTTTAGCTCTGGTTTTGGGGTAAAGAGAAAACTATTCCAAACTTCTGGTACTGTTTTCACTTTTATGTTTTCTTGACTTCCCTCAAAATCCAAGTGAAAAGAATCTCTCTTGGGTTTCCAATAATCTCAGTTTCCCTCTCTTTTCTTGTTTATGAGCAGGAATTATTTGATTTGTCCGTCCTCCCCATGAAACAACAGTACATTTGGCTCTATATTGATATGAGAAATCAAGAAAATAAGTTGGATTATTTAATTAGAAAATAGAAGTAATAATTAAAGCAGTGCCAATTCCTGTAATGAATGTAAAACTGTGGGTATAAAGAACATCTGATCTGCTAGAGAGGTAGACGGCAAATGCCTCACTTGTATTCCTTTCTTTAGGAAAGGAGTTACTGCTCCCTCTCATTCAATGACCAGTCTGTCTTCCTGGTCACAGAGTAACTTGAGTGTTTGTCCTACCTTTCACCCCACAAAGATACTTTGCGTAATTAACATTCAACAAATTTAACTACTGAGCTACTAAGTGCTGGTTTACCATGACACACCCAATTTGTACAAACATTTCTTAAAAGAGACTGGCCATGGCAGTCTGTTCCTAGCGTGTCAGCAGCAATGTTTCTCCTTAGTGAAAACCCGTGTAATAGGATGGCTGTTTGTTTGGGGGCTGGTATGGTCCTCTCACTCCCTTAAGATTTAGATTTAGCTTAGGAAATAAGTCCCTTATCTACAAGAGTTTCTAAATCGATTTTTATAAATAATTTAAATTCAAAGTTTAATTACTGTAAATTTAGAACAGTTCTTTTAAGGTGTAGAGGCTTCTTACTATATTTCCACCATTGCTGTTGTGAGCTCCTCTGCTGGGAGGCTAGGACTACAATTAGTTTGATAAAAAATGTTTTGCTGTCTCAGGCTGAACATACTAGGCCATACTAGGGTCTTGGCCCTTTTCTACGTTAGACCTACATCCTGAAAGTGAATTATGGTACTAATTTTTTTTAAGCACTAGTGGTAAACTTGTTTGGGCTCAGATTTTCTCAAATTTATTTTAAGTACTGGTAATGAGAAAAGACTTTTTTGTTGTTGTTGTTTTTGTTTTTCCAAAGAAATTTGAGAGTTTATTTGAAGCAAGGTGCTCTAGGTATTATTATTCTCCACTTCTTTTTGGTAGTGTGGTGGGAAGAAGGAAAAGAAATGAGTTTTATAGACTAAACTGAGGAAAAAAAGACATTGCTTGCAATCACCACCCAACCATTGTAGGAGTAAAACAATAATCACTGCTTGCTGCTTTTGTGCAGTGGGAATCCTCAGGGGGTGGAAAACTTATGATGCACTAGAGATCTTTTAGCAAATATAGATTCTGTAGCTCTATAGATTGTAGTCTCTAACTAAATTCCTATAAAGGGATTAAAATGCTGAGTATTTAGAACACTAAGAATAATTACAGTTTAAAGAAAAATGTTAATGAGAAAAAGATCTTTATGATAAAAATGCTAATGCTGTACCCTGAAAAAATCCTTCACAAGTCAAAAAAACCCCCAAACTGCAATATTGCCAGCAATTGTCAGTGAAACTTTATCACTCCATGTGAAAATGGATATGCTTTAATGTAATTTAAATTCTCGATTAACTGGGTTTTAACATACTTTCCCCTTACTCCCTATTTTGTAATTTTTTCTCCTTTTATGGAGCACTGTAATACTCCCCATCTGCATTTCATTTGCCTTTGTAAGATTTTTTTTTTTTAATGCACCAGATTCTAGGAGGGGAAATCAGAAATCATGTAAGTTCAGTGAGAAAGCCACATCCGTTAAAATACACTTTGATTGAAGTGACTGAAACAATGTGCATTTCATCGTATAAGTAAAGTCAGAAGAGTTCTAAATCCCTTAATTTAAGACATCAAAGACATTAGTTCCTCCTTCACCCCACATACTCTAACACAACCATTTAAATATCTAAGAAATCTTTAAAAATATTACTTTTTAAATAGATTTGACTTAAAAAATTATTTTGTTTGGATTTCCACTGAGCCAACTGTATTTCTAAGTATAAAACCAATTCTGACCCTTAACAGGTGGTACAAGTGAGATCAGGTATTTTCAGGATAAAACTGTTACATTATACTGAAAGCTAAAAAAGAAAGAGAGTGCAAAATATGCACTGTAAACAGTTTCTCTTGAAAGCACAATGTTGCGAGTTTAAAGGAAGAAGAACTTTTCCTACCTGTAGCTTTTATGCGGATCAGGAAGTGTAGCTTTTTTCTGATTACAATCTTCCATGGCTTAGCTTGGCTTCTGCATTTGAATGTTAAATATGTAAGAATGCCTTGTTTAGCTTGGGAGTTTGCATGACCTCTTAATGAGACACTGTAGTTAGTGTCATTGGGTATTAAGGCATCATGTGACTGCAGATGAAAATAAAATCCTTTAAAGTTTGCATTTAATACTTCCTAGAATCTGTAACCCTTTACCTGCAAGCTGGAGAAAAAACTTATAGAGCTCACTATTTTCAGGTCAGGGTTAGAAAAAGGAGAAGAGGAAGAACACATGCCAAATAATTCCTTTTCCTCTGAGACAGTCACTTACAATGACCACAACAAAGTCCGAGCCCGTCAGTGTATGAATGATGTAATTTCATATTTGTAAAATTAAATCTCCTCATGTCACAAACAGCGCTGGAAGGATTTGGCAGAAAGTTCCTGTTACATCAGGTAGTTTTGCCTAGCAGTGACGTTTACTCCCTACTGTTCTGGGTGATGCTTTATGGAGGAACTCTGCTCTAAGGTATATTTGCAGGCATCACATTATATTTACCTGTGAAAGCTCCTGACTTTCCTGGAATCATTTTGGTTTGGTGTTTCCAAGAGTGATAAGAGAGATGTGCTGCTACCACAATCCAGTTAGGAGAGTGTTCCCTGTGCAGGAGGAGAGATTTAATGTAGGCAATAGCTGAAAGCAGCTGGATCAGGTGTTTCCTAGCTGTAATCTCTAACGTGTATCGATGTACCTGGAAATGGTAAAAAACAAAACGAAACAACAAAAAAATCTCCTGGAAAGAACTGCATCTAACTGCATGTCTCACAGCTGCGGGGGGGAGGGTCCAAAGCAGAGCTAACAGCCTACTCGGTAGTACTTTGGAAATGTTCTACTAAATCCTTTGTTTGTGGTGTTAAGCCTCATGGGGGCAGTTATACAAGGCTCAGCTGCTGTACGAGTAAGTGTGCTGTTCTCACCCTAAAAATGCTGGATTTAGGGTGCCCTCCCTGCGTGTAAGGGATGTGCTGGAGTCCTGCTTGTCTTTCTCATGCAAAGTATCCTCCTAAAATCCAACTTCAGCAGCCGGCAGGCTTTGCCCTGTGGTGCTTCCCTACCTATGCACTGCAGTGAGTTTAAGATGAGACTGTCAAACTCATTTCAGCAGTGGGCTGAGTAAAATGAGACTGTCAAACTCATTTCAGCAGTGGGCTGAGGAGAGCAGGCGGGGACCGGGGCGTGGGAACTCAGCTGCGCCGCCTAGCCCTGGCCTCCCTCTGCAGAGCCCCACTCTCCAGGCTGAAACAGCGGATGCCAGCAAAGAAATTAATGAAAGCTGCTTTGGATTTGCTTATTTTAAGCAGAAAGCTATGTCATAACGTGAAGGCCAAATGTCATTTACAGTCTGTGAGCTAGTGAAATGCAAAACTCTGCAACACCTCTTTGGCAGATTTTTTTTTTTTTTTCCCTTCCTGCAAGTTTTTAGTGTTAGCTGAAAATGGACTTTGAGAGCCAGGAAATGTCATATCACAAAACCTTCACTAAACTCTCCCAAAGGCTCTCCGATCAGTAAGTAAAGAATTGTCAGGCTAACATATCCCCAAGTTGTTAGAGGAGGTGAGAAAGGCAGGAGGCACAAACAGCTGGGGGCTGCCTCTGCAGCACAGGGAGTGATGCTGTGCACAGACCCGGGTTACAGCCCTGCCAGGCTGGAGCCAGCCCCTGTGGGCTAGCTCTGCAGCCCGTGATATTCTGCCATTACCCTCATGGTGCTTGGGTAAATACGCTGGGCTAACAGGCTGAGAAATATCCCAGTCAAAAAGCTGTGCTGTAGGCCAGGCCACAGAAGCGACCTCAGGGAGGCTGCCTCACCCTTTCTCCTGATACCTGGCCTCCTCATCAGACCGTCTTCAGGGCTACTGTATTTTTGGTAGTCCACAGACTATTAATTCTTGTGATTTCTCAAGCCCACACCCAGTATTTCTGCAGTAGTAGAGAGGTTCTGCCCAGGCCCCTGCAGTCCAACGCATGCTGTCATTCCTGAAACCTAACAGTTTCTATGAATATGTGAAAACTGCTGGGATCTTTTCAGGCTGATCGTTTGGTCAGGTTTTCACAGATGTGTCCTGCAGGAAATGAACACTTGTCTCACCAATCCATAGCCCTTGTTCAATAATATGGATGTGACAACATTTTTTTCAAAGTATAAGTAGTTAAGGCATTCAGACTGCAGAAATCCTCTGTTTCCTGTAATCTCATTCTTTGTACTTTAGTCGACTATTTTTGCTAAGGTTTTCTGGAGAATGTTCCCGCTGAGATAGAAGCCTGCCTTGTAGAACTACAGCCTAAAAGGTTAACTTTGTAACTTCAGATACTATTGTCAATGTGATATTACAGCGGGAAGTGCCAGGCAATTTACTAACAGGCAATGGAATAATGGAGACAAACTCTAGCAAACTATCCTGCTGCTTCCTGCTGCTTTTGGGATGTTCTGTCTTCATCTGTGCTACAGGATGATCAGATTTTTGCTTCACCTTGCAAGTGTCTGTATTTCACTTTAAATGTGCTGAATAGATCTATTTTAGCCTGGAAGCTTTCTCACATGTACTGAAGTGCATATGGAATCAGAGCCATGGCGTGAAAGCGAAGAGATGATTTTATTTATCTCTGTTATGTGCTACATAAAAGTAAGACCTGTGCTGGTGTGGCAGTATTGTGTGGTGAAAGCTGTGACAGTGTGAACATGTGAATGTGATTTAAATCTGCTTTTATGTATTCCCTGCTGAGGTAGGAGAGGGGATTGGTGTGCTGCCAAAAGGGCAGGGCGCTGTAGGTGGAGAGTATACCATGGCTGGGAACACATCAAGGGCTTTGCAGTTGGGATGGGAGCATCACCCACCCTGGTAAACGGGGGCAGCATGGGCACTGGGATGATGGGGCAGCGGAGGCAGGGAGAAGAGCTTACTAAGGGCAGATTTTAACAGTCACTTTGGGAACTACTTGTGATTTTAAGAGCATGTTCTGCTGGACTGGACACCTTGGGAGAATGTTCCCTCATGCTCTTCTGGTTATTGGCCTGTGTCTTCAAGTGAATTTAGCACTGTGTAGCTGGTCCTCAACAGAGTTAAGTCCCTTTTTCACAGAAGGATGGTAGTGCAAACTGCCCCTTCTGGAGGAGCACATGATAAAATGCCTCATCACGCCCTGGGAAGGATCGTGATGGCTATTCCCTTCAGCCTTTGACCTCCCTGTTGAAATTGAAAATTGAGACTATGATTTAGACCCACACTAAGAGCATCACTTCACGTCATGCAAGTCAGGAGGCTACCTTCAGAATGCAGGGGATGGTGTTCAGTGACCAGGCTGAAAAGGTAAACCACGGGAAAAAATGTAGCTCATTACTCTCCCTGCAGTGACGTGGAGTTCCAGGAAGAGATAACGAGTAATGTCCTTAACAGGGTACAAGAACTTTGAAGTAGGTCATACTTGGAACATAAGTGCTTGATAATGATTCTTAATAACAAATCCTTGATAACCAAAGCTATCCAAAGGCCCTAGTCCACATTTGGATTATTATATAATCAATTTTATGGTTACACAAAAAATAATGTGTGAAAAAGTAAGATGTCTTTGGTGTTATTAGAAGAAATAAAAATAGATTTCAGAATTCTGTCCTTTTACAGTCTTAATATTTATGTTAAACCAGGTATTTTTTAATCCTTAATCAACAAAATGAAACAGTGCAGGTTGTTGTTAATAGCCTAACAATAATGACCAAAAGGACCTGTTTTATGATGTATCATGATGTATACAGACATGTGTAAGAAGTTTTTGACAAAGGTCAAAATCTCAGGATTTTATGCTGATCTGGAGCTGAAATAGTACCCCCTGCATATGAATGCCATTTTAGTGATAGATTTTTGCTTTACCTTTTCTAGATAGCTACAACTTCTGTTTCCACAGGTTTATGTACAGGGCTTGAATATGCAGCATTGAGAAATCAGGGCTGGGGAACCACTGAAACCAGAATGCCTTCTGAATGCCTTTTCTGGGCTACATGTTAACTCATATTTTTATGTTATCTGATTATAATGTGAAAAAAGTCGAATGGCCACAGGCCGCATGAAATGAAGTCACAGGCCGTGCATTCCCCAGCTGTGGTGCAAAGGAAATGACTGATAAAGGTATTTTTTCTAGCTGACCTCCGGCTTACCTTTGTCTGCCAAAGAATTTCCGGCTAATTCCCCTCTAAAGCTTTCTTGCAGCTATAACCTTTTCCTAGAATCTTCTGTGTCAGAAAATATGGACCCCATTTGAGCCTGTTTATTGATGCACTTTAGATAAAGACTAAATTAAAGCTTTGTTCTAGATATGCAAATAACGCTTCTTAAAAAAAAGTAAATTGCTCTATTCCTACGTAGGGGTAGAACAGCACTTGGCATTTGGAGGTCTTGTTATTAGAGAAACTACTTTGTCCCTGTACCACTGCACAGACGCACTTGGGGACAGATTTGTGAGGAGGCTGTGGAGTGCTTCCTCTTCCAGTAACAAGTATTTGGACACTGAGCACCCTAATGCCATTCAGAAACCTGTGTCTGCCGCTTAGGGTCAGTGTGAGGAGTATGACCCCTGAGAAATAGATTCAGAAAGCTGAAAAGCTGAATGTGATAGTTTATCTATGGAGACATAGACAAACTGTGAGGAGGGACAAGATTTAAACAGCACCCTTCAATGAGATTAGAAACCCAATACTTGGCTGAAGGGTTTAAGTGGATTAGGAGTCATATTCATGTTTGTCTTTCTCATTGTATTACAATTAAGAAAAACAGTAGTGCTGTCCCACTTCTGCTGTCCTTGTTTAGAACATAAATGTCTAAGGTTCGAAGCAGAACAAGAACATCTTTGCTTTCATGTGTCAGCCTGTTGCTTTGACCAAGTATACAAGGCCTAAAATCAATTCCCTCTTTGGCCCAAGATGAAGGGAAGACTGCTCCCACTTTTAGGCTGATCCTCTGTTTTGCTGGGGACTGTTTCCTGCTCCAAGAAGCCATTACACTGTGCACAAGACCACAATGTTCACTGAGCCAGAA